GTCCCTAGCCAATCTTATTTTTAAAAGGAAAGAAAAAAACTCAAATTCATGCATTAAGGAATGAAAAGGGTGAAATCACTATAGAGCCTGTGGAAATACAGAAGATCATCAATACCTATTTTGAAAACCTCTACTCTCAAAGGTTTGATAACACAGAAGAAATAGACAGATTCCTAGAAACATATGAAGTACCAAAGCTAGGTCAAGAAGATATAAAACTGCTGAATAACCCAATTTCTATTCATGAAATTGAAAATATAATTAAGTCCTTATCTACAAAGAAGAGCCCAGGCACACACGGATTCACTGCAGAATCCTACAAGAAAAACAAAGAAGACTTAATGCTGACACTCGTCAAACTCTTCAATGAAATTGAAAGTGAAGCAATCCTTCCTAAGTCATTCCTGGAAGCAAATATTACTTTAGTACCAAAATCTGAGAAAGACCCAACTAAAAATGAGAACTACAGACCAATCTACCCAATGAACACAGATACAAAACTCCTCAATAAAATATTGGCAAATAGGATGCAGCAAATCATCAAGAAGATTGTACACCATGACCAAATGGACTCATCCCAGGAATGCAGGGATGGTTCAACATATGCAAATCAATAAATGTAATCCACCATATCAATAAAACCGAAAGTAAGAATCACATGTTCATTTCTATAGATGCAGAAAAGCTTTTGATAAGATCCAACACTCATTCATGGTAAGAACCTTATAGAAAATTGGAATACCTCAGTATGATAAAATCCATCTATGACAAACCAACAGTCAGCATCATTTTAAACAGCCAAAAAATGAAAGCCTTTACCCTAAAATTAGGAACAAGACAAGGATGTGCATTATCACCACTCCTATTGAGTATAGTGCTGGAAATATTAGCCAAAGCAATCAGACAAGAGAGAGAAATAAAAGGAGTAAGGATAGGAAAAGAAGAACTTAAATTACCATTATTTGCAGATGACATGATACTCTACCTAAAAGACCCCCAAAACTCCATTGTAAGACTCCTAGGTATAATAAATAAATTCTGTAATGTAGCTGGATACAAAGTCAACACTCAAAGATCAATAGCATTCCTATGCACTAACAACAAAATCACTGAGAGGGAAATAAAAGAAGTCACATCCTTCACAACAGCATTCAAAAAGTGAAATACTTAAGAATCAATCTAACAAAAAGAGTAAAAGATCTATTCAGGGAAAATTATAATACCCTGAAAATAGAAATCGAGGAGGACCTCAGAAAATGGAAAGACATCCCTTGTTCATGGATAGGGAAAAACAAACATTGTGAAAATGGTCATTCTCCCAAAATTGTTATACAAATTTAATGCAATTCCAATCAAAATACCACTAGCATACCTTGCAGATCTAGAGAAATTGCTCCTAAAATTCATCTGGAACCTAGAGACCTAGAATAGCAAAGGCAATTCTAAGCAACAAAGGCAAGGCAGGACGCATCACAATCCCTGACTTGAAATTATACTACAAAGCCACTGTAATAAAATTGGCATGGTACTGGAATAAAAATAGACCTGAAAATCAATAGACTAGATTAGAAGATACAACTACAAACACACTCAGCCACTTTATCTTTGATAAAGGGACCAAACACATTCACTGGAAGAAAGATAGTCTCTTTAATAAATGGTGCTGGAAAAATTGGTTCTCCATATGCCGAAAACTAAAACTAGACCCATGCCTATTACTATGTGCTAAACTTAAGTCTAAATGGATCAAAGATCTAAATATTAAAACAGAATTGAATGAAACAGAAACTGAATCTGTTGGAAGAGAAAGGAGGTAGAAATCTTGAAGACATAGGGGTTGGTAGAGAATTCATGAACAAGAATCAAACTGCATGGGAAACACTTCCCAGAATCAATAGCTGGGATCATGTCCTATTAAAGAGTTTTTCATGTCAAAAGAAATTTCCAGCATAGTCAAAAGAAAACATACAGATTGGGATAAATCTTAGTGACCTGTCCCTCAGACAAAGGACTTCTGTCTAGAACATATAAAGAATTTTAAAATATAAGATCCCTGAAATTCAAAGATCCAAACCAAAAATGGGCATCTGAGATGAATACACAGTTCTCAGATGAAGAAATACATATGGCAAGTAAATACATGAAAAATGTTCAGCATCACTGGTCATCAGAGAAACGAAAATTAAAACTACATTGAGATTTCATCTCACTCCAGAAAGAATGACCAGAATAAGGAAAATTACCAACAACATATGCTGGAGAGGCTGCAGGGGGTGGGGGGGAGTCTTCTGCACTGTTGGTGGGAGTGCAGACTGATGTAACCACTGTAGAGGTCAATCTGGAAGTTCCTCAGAAAGCTGGGATTGGAAGCCCCATTTGACCCAGCTATTTCTCCTGGGCACATTCCCAGAACTGAAAACATCATATCACAGTGATATAGGTGCACCCATTTTTATAGCAGCACAATTTGTAGTAGTCAGATCTTGGAAACAACCTAAATGTCATCAACTGATGAATGAATAAAAAAGATGTTTTTTTTTTTTTTTTTTTTTTTTTTTTTTTTTTTTTTTTGTCGGTCCTAGAGATTGAACTCACCAGCATGCGCTTACAAGGTAGGCGCTTATGCCGCTGAGCTAAATCCCCAGCCCCAAAGATATGGCATTTTTATACAATGGAGTACTACTCAGTTCTAAAAATGATCACATTGGGATGTTTACAAGTAAATGGATGCAACTTGAGACCGTACTCATATAAATCAAACTTAATGTATAAATACCATGTAGTCTCCCAAGTGTATAAAATGGCAAGCGTCAGTAAGATACAGAATACTCAATAAATACAGTGAAAGGATAAGAATATGCTTAAAGGGGAAAGATAGTATCTCAAGGAAAATGAGGAAAAAGAAAAAATATCTAAAATTATATAAACACACAGGATAGCTAAGATGATTGTGCTACAAATTCTATAAGTTCTTGGAACAAAATTTAACATTCATAGGACTGAACAATTGTTTGTATTATAGTATAGTGATCTGAGGAGCTCCTGAAGATCATTATGCAAAATATCTACCCTCGTTATGCTCATACCACCTCGTTTGGAAGCCCTGTATTGTCAGTGTTTGGGGCTCTTTGCTATTGCTTTTTATTTGTCTTTTTTGTTTCATGCTTTTCTAGGAATTTGTTTTGCTTTTCCCTCTAATACAGTAAGCATTGGTAGGGACTCATACATGTGTAGAACTTCCGCTAAACACTTAATGAGAATCAATTATATAATGCATGATGAAATGAACAGCTACTTTGAAGAAAAAGAGACACTGTACCCAGTGCTGATTCTGCAGCATCATGCTGTGAAATCCAGCAATACTATAATTCTTTGTTCAGAGTGTTTTTAGTCTGTTTTGCATTGTTTAATTTCAACATACACCAAGGTATGGACAGCTATTTTGAAGAGAATGAGACACATTGTGTCATCCATTGTTGATTTCCCTATTGTCTGATTTTGAAGGCCTATCAAGCTTCCATCATTCTGTTCTGATCAGTTTAATACTGTTTTGTATGAATTCGTTGTGTGTGAAGATATGGACAACTGTTTAGAAGAAAACAAGAAACAATATGATAGCCAGTGATGATCTCCTGCTGTCTTGCTTTGAAATCTGTTACTTACATTGTTTTCTTCTGATCTGCTTTGTTCTGTTTTGTTCTGTTTAGTTTTGCTCTCTTTAAAATAATTTTTTTAAAATGGAAATTAAATTTAGTTAAATATAAATTAAGATATATCAATAAAGTAATTCATATGAAAAGCTTGAAAAAGTAGGTTCTATTATACATTGAGAGCAATCAGATTGCTATGTCAAGTATGCAGTATTCAAATCAAAGGAAAATAAACACAATTTTAGGATACTAAAAGCTATTTAAAAGAAATTGTTAATCTGAAAGATCAATAGAGGCAAATATATTCCATGCTATTAAAAATAATTTAAAGGTTTACAGGTACCTTTATGATTTAAAGGCACATCTTCAAAGGATTTGTGAGTATTTTTTATGATACAGGTAAATAACATTTGAATTTCAATAAAAAGGAGTTCTCCAAAAAGGGGACAGTCAGAAAAGATGTGTACAAACAACAAAATTCAGATGCAAAAGAAAATGTATTTATTTTTGCATTTATCCATTTAGCAAAACTGAGAAAGTTCTGCTCCAAACACTATAATACCCATGTATAGATATATGTTCTTCTGTCTGCCACTTATCACATGGGCCAGAAAACATGCATTTATCAAAAAGTTTCATTTGCATACCAAAAATGACAAAATTACACTGTGGCAGAATATACTAAGGAGACATACGTAAAATGTTCCTGTCAATTTGAGATAAAAAACTTTTTTTTGAAAATAGTCTTAGTTCCTCTTTGGGTAATCAGTTGTTATTCAACCCACATCTCACTGGTGAGGAGTAAAGGATTGTTTATCTTCAATAAGTTATGTTCTTGATTTTACAAACAGTGAAATTATGAATGGATTGTCCTCAGGTACCATTTTTAGTGCTTATGGGGAGGGAAAAAGTTTCATAATCCTAAAAAGCACAGTGATCCTATATTATTTTAAAAATGAGGCTCTCTTTGAAAATTCTTAATGAACGTAGAAAATAAATGTATTAAAAAGATGACCATTTTGAAAGTCTTTCAAAAATCAACTGATTTAATTCTTATAAAAACAGATGTTTAGCATTAAGGCAAATGCCCATTGATTTCTATTCCTTACATATATCAAATCCAAATAAATGCCCTGCAATATCCCATATGGTATCCCCAGCGAAGCCACACACCAAATTTCCTGAAGCAATTGACTCTTTATTTAGAATTGACTCTTTCAGCTGCATTTGAATGTCCAAAATATATCCCAGATTAATTTCTCCTACAGTTCATTCTTATCCCCCTTCTGCCTCTGCTCTCCCTGATATTTCATCCTCTACTGGACAGATCCTTAATTCCTTTTACTCTACCTTTAGCTGAACAGTATTTCTCAAACTCGGTTTTCACAGTTTCACTGGAAATCATTGCACCAGCGTCTTCAAGAAAGTTGCCCATGGGAAGCCAAGAGTCAAGAAGAAGTGAGATTTATTTTGGAGGCTTCAGTGGTCAGTCAGCTCAGGCCATTAGAGCTGCTGTCTGGCCTCGATTCCTTTGTTCTCTTTCCTTATATACCCCTACATGAGTTCCTAAGGTCAGGGGTTCCCATGGATACCACATTTTTTGCAGCATTGCTCTGTAATGTTCCAAGACCTTCTTCCACATCTGGTTAATTGACACACAGAATGTGGGCACCAGACAGTTTGGTCGCCTTGAGACAAACACATTTGTTCCCCTTCGCCTAGATTTTATGGCCAATTAAGGGAGAGGAGGAGGACTTTTGGTGATTTGACCAAAGTTTACTTGTTGTTTAAAGTCTAACTGCTAGCTAAGCATCTAAGTCATAATCTACAGACCGTAAAATAAGCGAAGTCTTCAAGAGTAGGATGGGAGGTTTCAAAGAGAAAGAGGCAAAGAAAAGAAAGCAAATGGGGTGGGGGGGGATGAATGCTGTCACATCACAAATGTTAGTTCTGCTCTTTTAGCATCTCTAACCTGTTTTGACCGTGACTGTAACTGAATGGATTGTCTCCTGTTAAGTTGCTAAAAATATCATACAATAAATCAGAAGTAAAAAAAAAGTTCATTGTAGATTCTGGTGCATGACTTTGGACACCTACTTTGACTGAAATCAACCTACTTATTAAATTGCTTTTCAGATACTGGAATTACTCCATTTTTTTTTCCAAATGGACTTAACATTTGTTTTAATACATGTCCTTTTAAAGTGTACTTCACTGATCAACTTGAATGAAGAACAATGCTTTTTAGAAGGAAGTGCTATTTTGATATGCTTTGTAGTACCTGCAATATCTCTATGCCTTTTGATCCTAAGATCAAATGTCTTTCTAAAACCCTCTACGGACAGTTACCACATATAAATCCTAACTTTGAAGTTAATGTGTATTTTATCATTTTTAACACAGAAACACAGATTTGAATGTCCATTATGAAAGTGAAGCATTAAAAATGCTAAAATTGACTCTGGGATTATAGCTAGCTACTGTACAAGTATGCAAATGATTTTACTCTCTGCAATTTCATCAAATAGTGTGTCTATTCAAAAAACATCCCTTTGCAAGTCTGATGCATAAAGATGTGATCTTAAAGGGCTAGAGAATCAGGACCCTCAGTGTGGTTGTCAATGGAATGTCTTGTTACTAACCCCTGTGAAAATAACAAAGCTCCCAAGCATTGTGCATCATGCAGGTCATGCTGAATAAATCTGTCTACATTCATGAGTTAACACTATTTACTGCTACCAAGCCAAGATCAGTGTATACTCAGGGCTGCTGACATGCAGAACCCACTGGATACAATCCCAGCTACTATACTCCCTTTTTGTCTTATCTTAAAGGCAGTACAGGATCTACTCAGAAACATGCTCTTGAGCCTTTTCATGTCTAGAAGGTCATTTGTTAATTTTCCTAAACTTTTACAAAGAAAGCAATTATTGTAGTGTATACATTTCAAAAGAAAACATTTGTTGTTGGCAGCACAGTCCTTGTCCCTTGCAATAAGGACAAATTAAAATAGCCAAACAAAGAATTATAGTTCTAAGTGTGGATAACTGCAAATGTTAATTTTATATCTAATAGGCATACTATATCTTGGTATATAGTTCACAGTTAAAATTTTAGCATAATATTATTTTCAAAACAATATAATAGGAAGACATTTTTCTCACTTTATAGATAATAAAACTCATTTAGAAAGGCTATACTAATCAAATCACTATCAGAACTTGCATTTAAAATAAGTAGTTTCTATTAGGTTTTATTTTCCTTGCCCTTTCAGTTTGGGTTCTCTGATTTTTCAAGACTACAGTGCTCTATTTTTTATTCAGTTACATTTTTAAAAAATATTTGTCTCACTTAAAGATATGTCTAATTTCATAATTCATAAATACATGTAAGTAATCCGTAAATATTATTTGCACTGTAGCAATCTATGCTACGATACTGTTTTTCATGGGACATGCTCAGCAATTGAAGAATCAGTTGCAATTATGTTTCAATATTAATGTTGTCAAGATGTATGCCACATTATATATGAATATTATGTCACTATGTTAAATTCCAATTATAAAATGTCTGGCCTTAAAAAAAATTATGATGTCAAGAAATATACAGGAAAATAAAATTATCAGAATTTAATGTAAACATAAAGAAGAAAGTAAAAGCAAAAATTGGGACAAAATATACAGTAAAAAGTAATGAATGCTACTAAATAAAAGAATAAATCAAACCAAATAGCATGTACAGAGACTTGATAAAAATAAAGACATTGACTTAAAAAGACATCTATGTGCTAAAGGTTACAAATTGGGATTATGAACCAGAGAATTGTGGTTACTGATCCATACCTTTTTACAAGTCTGGTTTGTCCAAGTTATGTAAGTCCTCAAAGCCCCATTCTGTTCATATGTACATATCAGACTGTGGAATGAAAAACTGAGGTCATTGTTTTAAATAGTTTATATAAATTTTTGGTATGCAGAATTGTTTAATATGCATATGTTCTCATGATTGTGAGAGGGACAATATTGATGCTTACATTTTCACACTTGCAACAATTAATAACAAATACATAGTGCAGGTGGAAATTATTGCCTTTCCATATGTTTGTATATCATACTTTACACCATAAAAATATACAGTCATTTTCATGAATAAATGTGTGTCTATTTCTTCTTAAAATGTTTAACATGGAAAGATTTCACAAGCATAGTGACATTTTTTAAAAAACAAACAAAACAAATCAAACAAAAATTGTGTTTGATGGATGTTCGTTTGGAAGGAAGCTATAGGTTTGAGAAGCATTTAATAATTCTGTCTTTCTCTCTCTCTCCTTTTAGAGGATATAGGAAAGGTCACTTTAAATTCAACTAGACTAGCAATTTGAACCTAAAAAGAAATTGTGTTTGATAAATGGTATATCCTTTTGGAAAAACACAATGAAATAAATACCTAATACAAAATATCAGTTATCAACAATAGAAACATACCTTAAATATTAATTGAATTCAGTATACAAGAGTGTTTAAAGACCATTTATATAAATTTTGATAAATCTTCATAGAAAACAAGATAGAATTCATTGTACATTGAATGTTTTTTGCTAAAAGACACCATGAATATAGTGAAAAGCTGAGACAATTTTACATATAATAATCTACCAGATATTCTTCATATATCACTAGCAGATATGAATGGAAAATACAAAAGAATTAAGATATTTTATGTGCATGTACTGATTTGCCACAGTGGATATCGTCAGTGTATATTGCAAACAGGTACTAATGAATTAAAGTAAGAACAAAAGAAATACATAATCAATTAACAGGTGAAAAGTATAAAAGTCAACCCTATTAGTCCTACTAATAATAAAATAAAATATGATTCAGTAAAGTTAAATTTTTACTTTAAAATCGAATTTATTATAAAAATCATGTACTTTAGATAATAAGTGTACTTCTATTTTGGATAAATTTTACTCGTTAAAGCAGTTGTAGGTTCACAATAAAATTTAATAAAGTACAGAAAATTTTCTTCAGGCCCAGTGACCTCCCCTGCTGTTCACATGCTGGACCAGAGCGACACATACATCGCCTCTGATGAATCTGTATTCACAAATTATTGTCTGGGTTTGTAACACCCCTTAGGGTTTAATGAGTGCATAATCATACTTAACTATGCTAACATTTTCACACAGAAAATAGTTTCACAGAACTAAAATTTCTCTGCAATTCCCTTATTCATCTCTTTGGCCTCTTTCATTTCTAGTAACTACCGAGCTTTATATTCTGTCCATACTTTTCCCTTATCTGGCCTGTCATATTCTTGGAATCATCCAGCATGCAGCTTATTTAGATTGGCTTCTTGAACTTAGTCATACGCGTTTTAAGTTTCCTCCATCCCTCTTCATGACTCAAGAGCTCATTTTTAGAGCCCTGAGTAATCTTCCATTGTCTGCATTAACCCCATACAGTGATTCACCTATCTACTGAAGGGTGCCCCAATAACATGCGATTCTGGCTACTGTGAACAGAGCAGCTGTGAACATCTGTGTGCAAGTTTGGTGTGAACCTAAGTTTTCAATATATTCAGTGAAATGTGGAACACAATTGCTAGTTCTACTAAATTAAGCTCACTTAATAAAACAAGAAAGAAAAGAAAAAGCAGCCAGTCTCACAGTGTATCTGGGCTGTTTCTTATTTCCCATGAGCGATGAAGCAGATTTGTCTCTCATCCTCACACTTATCAAATGCTGTTTGTGCTCTGGGTTTTAGTCATTTCAATAGCATGTGGTTTTTTGGCATTGCTCCTTTAATTTCCATCTGTGCAAGGAGAGAGATGTGGAGTGTTTTATCATAAACTGATTTATCACCTATTTAATACAATTTCTAAGTTTTTCTTATCATTGCATTTTAATGTTCTTTGTATATTTTAGATATATGTATTACATGTGTCTTTTGAAAATATTTTCTTGTAGACTGGGGTTTTATTTTTCATTCTTTTAACAGTGTCTTTACCAAGGTAAACAAATAGGATTTTAAGGAAGTCTAGCTTAGGAATTGCTTTTTCTCTCAAAGATTTTGATCAAGTATTGTTATCTTAGAGTTCATCATTATATATAATATCATCTAAATTTTTTTCTTGTTATCTGCTGTCAATTTTGAATTTTTTTTTTATTTTCCATAGAGTTTTGTGATCCATGTTGAGAATCAATTTTTGTAGAGAGGCACAAGGTCCATGTCTGGACTCCTGTTTTTCACTGCATGTGTAAAGCTACTTGTTCATCATTTGCTAAAATGATTATCTTAGCTTCATTTTTTGGCCTTCGAGACTTAATCAAAGACAGTTATGTATCTCCGAGTACCCATTTCTAGGCTCTCCATGTGGTTCCCTTGATGTATTTAATCTATTATGAATGCTCAGTGTCTTCACTATGATAGCTCCATAGAAAGTCATGAAGTCAGGTAGTACCACTATTCCAATTTTGTTCAATATCACGCTGGTTATTTTGTTG